GAGCACAGCGTTCGTTTTCACACCTGACTTGCCAGCGACTTTGTATTGGTGACAAAGACCATTGGTCGCAACTCACATACTTTAACTCACGCCTTTCTGCAACAAAACAACATCCGTGTTCTACCGTGGCCAGCCCTCAGCCCTGATCTAAACCCAATCGAACATTTGTGGGATGAGGTTCAAAGGCGTCTGCACAATGTGCGCCCAGTCCCTACAGCTGCCGATGAACTACGCACAGCTGCTCTGGGTGTGTGCAGGAGTGAGTGAGTGAGTTTAATTAAAGTCACGTCGGTAATATTTCAGCCATAATGTGACTTGAACAAGTTATACAATAGGTATAAAAACTGTCGACGAGGGACAGTATAATAACTAGCAATATATCACAGATTGACTTAAAACTAGTTGTAGAACAGTAAAAATATCTGATTATTGAGGTACGACACAATATAAAAATGGGGCTATAGATCGCCAGCAACAAAGTTAAGATCACCATACTGGGGACCAAGGGGCTTACGGTACCTCTGCTACCTGCATGGTTCCCCAGCAGGATTTACACTTCCCCAAGTTACTGGCGATTGTTGCGAGTTTAGCCAGATATTAAAAGTTAACAAATATTCTGCAGTTAAAATAGAGATAGATATAAATATATTTTGAAAGAGGTGGTCTTACATACCCTCTCAGGGGGACAATAATTTTACGCTACTTCAACCCCCGTCAAGGGTATAGCAACGAACAGTCTCAGTTACTAATTATACACTACCGATTTATAAAATACAGAACTTTTTACATCAAAATTTATAGCAAAATCTTTTAAATAGTTCATGATTAAACGTGAATTAACATTGCTAAAAAGGTCCTTAACTGTTTTGACATTGAAATATTTATCCCTTGTGATGGAAAGATCAATATAACAGGACATGGTTGATCGTGATTCTCTCATCACAGGGGATACAAAACGGAGGATCCTCAGCTTTTAATAAATATTCATTAGTATATATACTATGGCCAATATGACATCGTCGTAAAATGACCTCTTCAAATCTGGACTGACAACCCAAGTAGATATAACCGATATTTGGTTTAATTCCATGTAACTTATTCATACCTGCTTGGGTGTCCCACTTCTTTGGCATCAGATCTCGGATGTAACATCCAATCACAGGCTTGTGATCACTATGGGACAAGAAGTGGTGTCAGAGATTTGTTGAGTGCTGCTTTTGCAGCAGCATCAGCCATTGTGTTACCTTTTATGCCCATATGACGAATATGTCGAATTGGCCAGTTGAAAGATCATTGTAAAGTTCTGAAATATCTAAAATCAGTTGATGAGTCAAAGACACATTATTTAGTGCCTGAAGGCAAGAAAGAGAATCAGGAAAGATGATAAATTGTTTACATGCAGACTGTTGTTGAATGCATATCAATGCTGTAAGAATAGCATTGGCCTCAGCAGTGAAAATAGAGCTATTGTCTGGTATTCTAGAGGATATTATTTTTGATCCAACGACAGTGGCACTTGCTACTTTGCCACCAGCCTTGGACCCATCAGTATAGATTGAATGGTGAGTGTCGTATTTATTTCTTAATTGTAAATATTCCTGTTGATATAATGGCTGGTTAGTGTCAGATTTAATATAACGTGTGAGGGAGATGTCTACTTCCGGCCTCACCAACTGCCAGGGAGGAGGAGACAAAAGTCGGTAAGGAGAGATGATGTCCAGATCTAGATTTGCAGCATTAATATGAGATCTGAGCCGAGTTCCAAGTGGAGGAACCAGCTCTGGTTGCTTCTGAAACAATTCTTTATACAGAGGATTAAAAACGGGGTCATAAGCAGGTTTGGAGGTATTGGAATGTAATTTAGTAATATATTGCAGAGACAATTTAGTACGGCGTTGTTTTAAAGGGGTTCATCTGCCTCGACATATAGGCTGTGAACTGGGGAAGTCCGAAAAGCACCAAGACAAAGTCATAATCCTTGATGGTGGATTGAATCCAGTTTTTTTTAAATTACTCTTACAAGCTCCAGCATACACAATGGAGCCACAGTCAAGCTTAGTGCGAATTAGAGATCTTTATAAGTGAAGACGGGTTATCTGATCCCCTCCCCACTTTGAATTTGAAACGACTTTTAACAAATCTAGGGCCTTCAGGCATTAAGGCTTTAGATATTTAATATGTGGCAAAAAAAGTTAGATGATGGTCGAAAATTAATCCTAAAAATGTGGCTTCTTTTACAATCTTGATTGGAGTGTCTTCTAACAAGAGTTCAGGATCTTTATGAGGTTTATATTTCCGACAAAAATGGATACAATTGGTCTTGGTCTGTGAAAACTTAAAGCCATTTTCAAGACACCATTTATGAATTGTATTAAGACACAACTGTAATTGGCGTTCAATAGTACGTATATTTTTACCACGACATGAGATATTAAAATCATCCAGAAACAATGACCCATCAAATGAGTCATTTAATACTTTTGATAGAGTATTTATTTTTATACTGAACAGTGTGACAGATAAAATACTGCCCTGTGGAACTCCCTAATCCTGATTATAATGATCAGACAGGGTTGATCCAACACGAACTTGAAATTGTCTGTCCATTAAAAACTGCGATATAAAATGAGGAAAACGGCCTCTTAAATCGAAGTCGTGTAAATCTTTTCAAATACCATGTTTCCATGTTGTATCATAAGCCTTTTCAAGATAAACAAAGATTGATACAGCATGCTGGTTATTTACTATGGAATTTTTAGTGAATGATTCTAAAGGAACCAGATGGTCAATAGTACTGCGATTTTTGCGGAAACCACATTGAATATTGGTAATAAGATTATTGGTTTCTAACAAACATACTAATCGGTTATTGACCATGGTTGTACACACGCAGCTAGTTAACGAAATAGGTCGATAATTAGATGGATCAGTATGATCCCGGCCAGGTTTCGGTATAGGGATAACAATGGCATTGTGCCAGGAAGGAGGAAAGTGTCCAGTTGTCCAAATATTATCAAAAATATTTAGAAGTGTTTCGAGACATCGATTGGGTAAATGTTTAAGGAGCTGACAGTGGATATTATCAGCTCCCGTTGCGGTATCATGAGCTTGCTCTAGGGCAGTATTGAGCCCATGTAGTGAAAAGACTTCATTGTGGTCTTCACCATTATCAGAATTAAAATTAATAGTTTTCTTTTCTTGTTGATTTATATATTTCTGAAATTTGGGATTATAATTGGAAGATGAAGAGTGTTTGGCTAAAGTTTCACCCAACTTATTTGCGAAGTCTACTTTGTCAGTTAGTAGACCATGATCATCTTTAAGACGATGAACGCCCGTATTTGAACCCTTCCCTGTGATTCTTTGTACCATGTTCAACACCTTTGTCATTGGCGTACGGGAATTAATCTTGGATACAAAGTTTTTGCAAGAGATGTGTGCAGGAGGATCCCTAGGGCCTTCACAAATCGTCTGATCCACTCAATGTACAGGTGATGTGTGTCAGTGATCAATGCTAATGGTGGTCACACCAGGTATTGACTGACATTTTGGGTATTGACCCGAAACTGTGTAAGCCCTTAACATTTGAAAAAACAAAACAATTATGTCATCTGCCTTTTATCCATTAAACTGTCTTCAGTCAAATTTGTGTCAATCTTGACCTATTAGTATTTCTTGTCTTTACTGTTGAAAATAAATAACATGTATACTGCATACTTGACTTGCGTTTCTTTTGCGTGTGAGCATATATGTAGTTCCCGTGCCGAAGACCCCATCAGTTGTAATAATGGCCTTTGGACCATACATGTATGAACAAACAAACAAACTGTCTGTCTGTAATATAAGGGTAATGCTATTTTTCAGTACATTTATTATCATTTGCAGAAGCCCCAGGTCTTCCATTGACTGCCCGACAAGGATAGAATTTGTTAAGAAATAAAAACAAAGAACAATATCGGTTTTGAAACAGTTATTGCAATCAACACAAATGTCACTGACCCACTTTTACAAATATTTAAACGTCAAAGAACAAACCAGATGACGTCACAATTGAACGTGACGTCACCTATCCCTATTCTATGACGTCACCTAACAACGGGCGTGATAATGCCCCGTCGTCAAGCAAGTTACAGTGGCCCGGTGATATAAGGGTAACGCTATTTTTCAGGACCCGGTTGTATCAAAGCCTCATTAACTAATGGCTTCATTAAACTCCAATGATACATTAAATGCTTAATGCACCATTAGTTATTTGCAGAAGTCCGAGGTCTTCCATTAACTGTTGAAAAGACCTAGGGTTTCTGCAAATAATAATGCCCTAAAAAAGCGTTACCGTTATTATAGCTAAAATGGATGGAATTTATTTTCAAATTAAAAGAAACAACAATATCGGTTTTAAAAAAATTACTGAAATCAACAGGTATGCCACTGACCCACTTTTACAAATTATGGAAACTTCAAAGAACAAACCAAGATGACGTCACTATTGAACAAGCCAAGCAATATGAGGGCATTATCAAGTTACAGTGGCCCGCTGATTTCTGATAACATGCAGGCGGTTTAATGATAATTCTATCCACTTTAGCTATAAGGAAAAAACATTAAGAAAATAAATTGGATAGGGAAACTGTTCCCTCTGTAACCAAGTTTCTGTCAAATGTTCTGTCAAATATTCTGTCTTACCTATCTAGATCTATGTCTTAATCAAAATCCCTAACGTAACTGAGCGTATGTGATAAATCCATTGCACTTCAGCCATCAGGCCTCTAATAATGAATAAACATCTACCTATGGCGTCAAAGACACTTTGAGTAATACACAGCATTCACTCACTCATGCACGCTTCACAGTTGGAACGATGCGGACAGAACAAGCGAGTCAACGAAGATACAAGCTCCTTCCCAGCGCGTGACACCTTCGTTACACTCTCGGTATAGAGAGCTCCCCGAACGGGCGATCGCTGCGAGGAGCTTGAACGAAGATATAACAAAGGGAGGTAACTCTATTTCCACCCACGTGTATTTCCTGTGTGAACCACGAGGTTGACTTGCCAACAACTCACGCTGCACTAATGGATCATCTAAAAGACGGATGGTTTAGCGAACTGAGCGAGCTGTGGCCTGGACAATGCATGTCACTTCAAGTGGAGAAGGTCCTTTTCCATGAAAAGTCCAAATATCAGGATGTACTGGTATTTAAAAGGTTTGTTTATAAATCGAGTGTGTGTAGATCGATTAGGGCTCTTGTCGCACGATCTAACAGCTTCGCAGTGTAAGTACAATGAGATTTGTTTCGAAATTGACAGTGTCAACCAACATATATGCAGCTTTTAAGTCAGACGAAGGGCGAACGATAAGAAGAACCGCTTATCAATTCGGCACAGGGAAAATCACTCCGACATAACTGCTGCACGGCCTTTATCAGCTGTTTTTACCTCAACCGGTTACTGCTAGAAGGCCAGTCTGCTGTTACCACTTATGTAGCGTTGGTTTGTTGTTTTACGCCGCACTCATCAATAATCCAGCCATATGAAGGCGATCTGTAGATAATCGAGTCTGGACCAGACAATCCAGTGATTGACATCATGAGCATCTATCCACGCAACTGGGATACGATGACATTCAACCAAGTCAAGCAAGCCTGACCACCCAATCCCGTTAGTCGCCTCTTAAAGGGTACATTTTCATTAAGCAGTAATTTTTCTTCCTTTCCTATAAAATCGTCGCGAAAATATTTTTGGGTGGCATAATTGTTTCAACCAGGTTATTTTACCTACATTTTTCTACATAATTCATAAATAGTTTTGGGCAATATTTGATATTCCTACACAAGTGCTAAATAACTTTCATTTCAGAATGGGGGCGGTCGGGTAGCCTAGTGGTTAAAGCGTTAGCTCGTCACGCCGAAGACCCGGGTTCGATTGCCGATATGGGTACAATGTGTGAAGCCCATTTCTTGTATCCCCCGCCGTGATATTGCTGGAATATTGCTAAAAGCGGCGTAAAACCATACTCACTCACTCATTTCAGAATGTTCTATTTCAGGGTGAAATTAGAATATTTAGTTTATTATATAAGGTTTAATTTAATTTGCATTGTCTATTGTAACTGGTATATATCTTAGGGCACAAATAACATCACATTAAAACAGGTTAACTTACTATACACTGTAAATGTCTAATTAGCCTGAGGGATCACTGAATTATCTATTGTTTTAAGTCAGCAGGCATCCCTCATCGGGGCTATTATTACAAAGGGTGGAACTAGGGTCATTGATACAGGCTAGGAAATATGCAACTCTCCTACCCAGAGTTCCTTGTAGCCACAGTAACATATGCACCTGCATTTTCACCACCGTGGTTTAAAATATCACTAAATTTTCAAACAGCAGTATCAATATTATCTTCTAATAATAGAGAACATTCATTCAACATTTCCTTTCTATTATTGCTGTATAATTAGTTAGATACGAAGTGATCTTATCTTCAGGGAGTCTGTATCTAACTGTATGATTTATTGACAAACGAGTAGTTGCAGGCCTCTTATTGGGTTGACAAGCTAAAGGTAGGATGTTTTTTCAGAGTAAATAGTATTGGCAAATGGACTCAGTTTGCTGAAGAACCGACATGTGTATTATATTTGTAAAAATATCAGTAGAAATAATAAAAAAGTCAACAACGCTGCATCCAGAATATGATACAGGAGTCATATTGCCTCTGATATCTGATTTTAATCTTCCATTAGCTATATAGAGATTCTCACCTTCGTGTCTTTCGATATCAAATATAGTTTTTCAACTTTTTGTTAACGAGTGTTGATATATTTGTTATCAAAAGATACAAGGATGAGATTTTATTGATTATCCAACATCATTCTTCCAACGTTTTCAGTTTGTAGACAGTGAAAGCAGTGTCTTAAGTCTAAAACGTACTCACTCTCCTACCCAGAGTTCCATGCGGCTGGCAGCCAGCTAGCATAGTACCTCTGCCACAGGCCAGCGCCATGTGACGATTCATCACATCTTTCACAGTCCATTCAAGATATTGAATATGCTTTTCATCCGTTTCATGTTTGACAAGTCTACACATTTTCATAAACAAATGTCAAAGAATGTTTACGGTTCATTAAGAAAGTATCCTAATACGTGAAAATCTATTTGTTTTTGCGTAGTTATCCTTTGTTTACATCGGTTGTGCGGCTCCACGTGCTGTCATCGAAGCCCAACGGAGAGCTAGCGATACGGTCACTTTGATGTCTAAATATATATTGTCATGCAACTCACTGTCGCAGTTTATCTATTATATAATGGTGCAAAACAATATGTTAAGCTACCCAAATACTTGCATTAGTCCGTACTAGACTGATTTCTGAAAAGGCGCGTTTGTTTACAAGTCCGGTCAAATGATATACAAATTAGCCTGTGGCAGTGGTGTTATGCTGAGTCACCACTGCGCCGGAGTGTGGGAAATATGTACATTTATATAAACATTCTATTGTATTTCAGGTATCTATAGGTCATAATCATTGTTTTAGGGATTATATGCTAGGGACTATATTAGGGACCAAATTATAACGAAGTTCAGTGAGAGTAACGGTTGGACATAGAATGAGTTGAGACTCAGCTAGGTCATTCTATTATTCTCACACAAGGCCTTGAGTTGAAGATGTACTGTTTCTAGATCCCTTATTGTTTATTATTTAATGTCTTAGAATAATATTTAAATTTGAGTTGTGTTCAATGTGTATGCGGCAATCTGATTGGCTGAAACAGTCTGCCATTTTTGCATTCATTTTCCTATGAACCAAAAAATCTTAAGCCATGCATCCAACGTTTTTCAACGTGACGTCAGCGTAGAACAACTGTGACATCATCTGAATGCCGTGGCTTACAAAATTGATACTTTACTTTCCAAGCCATTATTCATGTCATGTCCTCGTTAATACTGTAAAAAATATAGAAACAAGCTACTAAGGTAACCTAATTTGATTATAAGCATTGACAGTTGAATTTTTTGTGTTCATTGAGGTATGAATCAAAAACCAATGTGCAAACCTTTGTAAGAATCCGCTACTGTGTCCCTATTGTACCGTAGAATTTTTAATCAAACTTTTTTATCCCAACACGAACCCACATTTCCAGCAATCTGGTGAAATATTGTACATGTTTCTTAAACTTACCAAAGAGTGCATGTGCCTCGGCATCAAGAGGAATCCTAGCCGTGCACTGCCCCAGCTTTTCACCGTCTTTGACAAAGCTGAACACACAGTTCATTATTTTTAAATTCACCTCCATTGCTGTCAATCTGTCATCCTTTAACTGCGGGAAAATCTGTCATGTTGAATCTAAATTTGGAATTTCGATGCGAAACGATTCCTAAATCGGCCATGGCGGGACATGGGACTTTTAATTCTCCTTTCGTTTCATCCTGACAATTCATTTTTTTCATGCCAGGAAAAATTTCAAATCGCTTAACATTCTAGACTGGTCCCCTGGGTCAGTTGCGCAGCCTGCTTTCTGTGGCGAAGCATTTGCGTCTTGAAGACAGACTGTTTTTGACCATTTTAATCATTTTACGATAAGCAGTAAGTTATTAATTTACGTTGAGCAGTTATTTTTTGGTATTTTCCATCAAGCATTTTCGATAAAAAAAGATGAATTTTACGTTTCCGATAGTGTTTGAAGGGTGTTTTACGTTAAGCATTAAAACCAATCAGGACCCTCCTCTTACGAAAAGCAAAGTCACCTTCTACGAGTTGCTAAAGATCTATTCTACCCCAGATATTCATGAGTGTACCACTCATGTTACGAAATAGAACAATGGACTGAAATCAAGATTCATAATAGGCAAGTACAGTTACATTGTTTTTATGAGATCCACCATTATGCATATACATGCAACATCTGGTACTATCAACTGTTAACCACTTGTGTAACGAAATAAAACTGACAGTTATTGTAATAAACAATCCTATACAGGCCTCAAGTTACAACTAAAACGTTCGCCAATGCAACCTAAATTTCAGTTTGTCTGCTGTCTAAATTTCAGAAGTAGCCAAATGACTCCCTTGAACAATATCTTATGGCGACTAAATTCTATTGCTACACATCTGCAGACACAAAAATAAATAACAGCTGATCTTGGAAAAACATGTCTGCTAATATTTGTACTCGCAAATAATTCATCCTAAATTCCTCCTGAACCGAAATATACTACTCAAAAGAAGTTAAGGATCACCCGATTCTTTCATATTGGTTATGTTAATCTGTCATGACATGAGAGATTAACTATTGTAATATGAAAGAATCAGGTGATCCTTACCTTCTTTTTAGTAGTATACATAAATATTAATGTAATTAGTTCTTCATTTTAGCTGACAATGCTCATCGGATAAGCAAGGATATACCTATATAATCTGGTAACATAAATTGCATCATTGTTTGTCATGTTCGAGTCACAAGTAACAAAAATCAAGTACAGTTTCCACTAACATACAGTTCCAAGACTAGTGCTATAACTTGCACATATTATAAAAGTTATTTGATTAAAGATGATTTCAAATGCTTTTGGCTACCTGCAATATTGGCTTGACTTCTGTATTTTATTCCTGGCTACCTGGAAAAAATACTACTATGTAAAGATTTAAACTTTGAGGCCTGCTATAGGGGGCCTGTATGGTGTTTAGGCAAGGGGAGTTAAATTGTACATTTTGAGATATTATTAATAGAGAATTTTATCCAAGTGTTTCACATGATCAAATATTACAAGACGTGTTAATAGTTACTAATGTCTGAGACTTGTACAGTGTTCCGGCTGGCCTTGAAACTGCCAGGCCTTGTGGACTGGCTACTCTAAAAATTACCAGTCCCCCTAATTTTGCCCAACTTTCAAGAAATAAAAAAACCCATGAAGCGTATTTGGTTTGAATTCTTTCAACATCATGTTCAGTACAAAGATGTCATCTCTGAAGTAACTTAGATCCATACATCATTCACACAAACTTCAGTCACAATTTTCTCTTTTTGTTTTAATATTTCAAGATGAAGTTACTAGAAATGGGGGGGCACGGGTGGCCCAGTCGTCTAAGGCGCCGCGATTCGCTGTGCAGAGTTGCGTCCCTTGGGCACGCCAGAAACCTATGATTGTGGGTTCGAATCCCGGTTCGCCCCGATTATGTTTCTAGGTTTGTCAGCACCATACCCGTGCTCGTGGGTTTCACCGAAGTGGTAAACGTCTGAGACCTGCATCACTTCTGGCTTTCCTCCCACATTAAGCTGACACGCCACGTTATAACTGGAATATTGTTAAAAGCGGCGTTAAACCCAACTCACTCACTCCCTCACTACTAGAAATGGATATTTAACCTAGAAATAGACAAGGGGAAGCCCTAACAGACAAGCTGACTTCGTTAAAAAAAGGTATTATGTGAATATCACCAATGTTTTTTTCAACAACAAAGATTTATAAGGTACTTTATTTTCCGGTCCACAGGGACTGGCAGTCTCAAGAATTACCGGTCCAAGCCTAATTTTACTGGTAAAATACTGGTAATTACCGGTATACGGGAACGCTGAACTTCTAGAAGATTGTTTAACTAAAATAAATAAAATCCTTTAGTTTTGTCACAGAAATCTGAGTCAACCACACTCTGTACCAGCAGTGTTTGAAATTAAGGGGGTCCTAAAGGTTTGCTCCCACAGTGTTTCATAATTTAAATTGGGGCGCCCTACACTAATTCTTTCATTTTTGTTATGCAAGGTGGGGGCACGGGTGGCCCAGTCGTCTAAGGCGCCGCGATTCGCTGTGCAGAGTTGCGTCCCTTGGGCACGCCAGAAACCTATGATTGTGGGTTCGAATCCCGGTTCGCCCCAATTATGTTTCTAGGTTTGTCAGCACCATACCCGTGCTTGTGGGTTTCACCGTAGTGGTAAACGTCTGAGACCTGCATCACTTCGAGCTTTCCTCCCACATTAAGCTGACACGCCGTGATATAACTGGAATACTGTTAAAAGCGGCGTAAAACCCAACTCAAGAAGAAGATGTTATGCAAGGAGCCTTTGACTTTAATTTTACTCTGATTGGATGTGGCACCTGCATCTTGGGAGCCAGAGATGATGGTTGAAAAATGTTTGAAGTTCTTCTAGTCCTTAATTAGGGTACCTTTAGCTACTTAACAATACTTAAAGGGGAAGTGTACACGCAAAAATCACTTTCTTTCTTTTTCTAAACAAAACGCAATTTTAGAATTAGTTAGTATCTGTGTTTGAAAACATACACTCATTTTTTTTCACAGTGAAAGTAGGAAGCTCACAATAGTGTTAAAATGATATGCCGTTATGAGGCCTTCGTTTTACGAGCGAAATAGGCCTGAGTTATCCATGGTGTTTTTGTTGTGGAAATAGAACACTTGGTAAATGTGAAAAATATAAATCGTTTTAATGCGAAAAATATGTTAATTAATTGTGATATTTTTATATTTTTGTCTATGACACTTCTATGTTAACACTTTTAATGTGGAAAAAGTACAAGAAAAATTGGTTCATTTCCGTGTGAACTTGCCCTTTAAGGGATCGGGTGGTCAGGTTCGCTGACTTGGTTGATGCATGCCGTCGTATCCCAATTGCGTAGATCAATGCTGATGATGTCAATCACTGGGTTGTCTGGTCCAGACATGATTATTTACAGACCGCCGTCATATAGCTTGAATATTGCTGAGTGCGGCGATAAATAACAAACAAAAAAATAAAAAAACAAAGGTTGCCTTTGATATTAATAAAACTGATCTGGGTTAGCAGATGTGATTGTAGCAGCAATTTCCATCCTTAGTCATCAACTATATTCTATCTTTCAGTTCATTTAGTTCCAAATATGTGCACATGGTAAATTTGTTTCAATCACAAAAATGACCAAAACATAAAGCACATGTTCAAGAGATGGTTAGGCATGGACCTATTGCTTTCAAGCAAGATTGATTTATGTGAAAAAACTCATGCAGTATTTCTTGTCATAAAAGGCGACTATACTTGCCGTAAAAGGTGACTATACTTCTTGTAAAAGGCAACTAACGGGATCGGGTGGTCAGGCTCGTTGACATGGTTGATGCATGTCATCGATCCCAATTGTGTGGATTGATGCTCATGAATCACTGGATTGTCTGGTCCAGACTCGATTATTTACAGACCGCCGTCATATAGCTGGAATATTGCTGAGAGCGGCGTAAAACAACAAACCAACCAACCAATTTAATGAGATTGGAATTAAAACATTCTAATGGTGTGTGTTTACAGTAAGACGTATGGCAACGTCCTGGTCCTGGATGGTGTGATACAGGCCACAGAGAGAGACGAGTTTTCATATCAGGAAATGCTTGCACATTTACCCCTGTGTTGCCACCCAAATCCAAAGAAAGTAAGTTCTTAAATATCTTTTGTTTGTTTGTTTTCTGTTGTTAAACGCCGCACTCAGCAAAATTCCAGCTATATGATGTCGGTCTGTAAATAATCAAGTCTTGACCAGACATCCCAGCGTTTGACATCATGAGCATCAGTTCACGCAAGTGAGATACCATGACATGCATCAACCGAGCCTGATCTCCCGATCCTGTTAGTCGCCTCTTACGGCATTTTCGGCCACTCCGGATCTTCATGGGTCTCTTGTGTATCTCAGTCCATGCTTGACTTTGAGGCGCCTTCCGGGATCGGGTGGTCAGGCTCGCTGAGTTTGTTGATGCATGCAATCATATTCAATTTGAGTAGATCGATGTTAATAGTAGTAGATGTATTGCTGTGCTGTAGTAGATGTATTGCTGTGCTGTAGTAGAATTCGTCCCGATTCTCCCATTCTCAATCCAGATCTGATCAGATTTGTATTTTCCACGTGGTAAAAAAAAGACCGAAACTGTCCTGATTCTCGCAAATGAGATCTGACAGTGATCCGGACAGTGAACAGACAAAGGCGGTACACATTCCCCAAGATAGGGACTCAATCTGGATAAGAAACAGCAATTAACAATTTCTCGAAAACATGCCTGTTCATCACGACAGCATCCTGATCTAAAGGACACATTCCAGACAACACAGGTCATTGTTATGATTATGATTCTGTACAGCAGAATCTGTCGCGACAGTCACGATTGTAATCCGCCTAGACAAAATAGGCTGAGTTTCCCGAATGTTACGGGACGCACCACACTGTCGGGAGTGCTTGGCCAATCTCATTAAAATCAGACCTTAGTTCTCGCTACCGCTAAACAAAGATCTGAGGACATCCCATTACGGGTCAGGTCAGACCGACCTTACGCGAACTTTGACCGACCAGTAGAATGACCAATCAGAAGGCAGCTTTCTCGTGCTTTACGGCACTAATTTCAAATTAGCGACTACGCTTCGAAACATATTTTGACAAATTCTCGATTACAAATTTGAAACCTAAACGAAAAAACATTCTGGAATGGCTGATAGATGGTCTAGATTTATGGGTTCAGTCGTTAAACCTGTAACTATCGTTCGGAATACCCCGTGTAAAGTTTTCGAGGTTGTTTGATTAGAAATCACATTCCGACTGTTACTTTCATGATCTGGTAAGCGACGCTCTCATTGGTCGGATGAAAGGTCGTTCTGACGTGACCCCTAATGGGATGTCTTCAGATCTTTGTTTAGCGGTAGCGAGAACTAAGGTCTGATTTTAATGAGATTGGTGCTTGGCCGACCTCTCTGGACCTTGCCCGATCCATTGTTCCGAACGTATTCGACTGTGTTCAGACAATGATAGGACATTCCAGATTATTGAGGATAGTAATCCGACTTTTTCTCTTTTCGCGTTGTGGCGCTGTCTGATCTCAAACGGGAGCTATAATCGGCACTGTGTGAACGGTGAACAGGTGACTTGGACTGGGGGGTCAGGCTCGGTGATTTGGTTGACAGCTTGTCATCATACCCTGCATCTGTGGATTGTCACTCATGATACCAATCACTGGATTGTCTGGTCCAGACTTGATTCTTTATAGGTCCAGACTTGATTATCTATTGGGTACTGCTTTGTGATACTGCTGTAATGATGACAATAATATAGTTTTATAGATTTATATGACAATAAAAAGAAGTGGATTTTCTATCTGCAGGTGTTGATCATCGGCGGGGGAGATGGGGGTGTGGCCCGCGAGGTTCTGAAACACCCTGAGGTCGAATCAGTTGACATGTGTGAAATCGATGAGGTAAGCATGTCCACTTGTGTGTTGCTCTATTAGGGGACTGACCCAGAGGTCGAGACAGTAGACATGTGTGAAATCGATGAGGTAAGCATGTCCACTTGTGTGTTGCTCTATTAGGGGACTGACCCCGAGGTCGAGACAGTTGACATCTGTGAAATCGATGAGGTAAGCATGTCCACTTGTGTATTGCTCTATTAGGGGACTGACCCTGAGGTCGAGACAGTTGACGTGTGAAATTGATGAGGTAAGCATGTCTTCTTGTGTATTGCTCTGTTAGGGGACTGACCCTGAGGTCGAGACAGTTGACGTGTGAAATTGATGAGGTAAGCATGTCTTCTTGTGTATTGCTCTGTTAGGGGACTGACCCCGAGGTCGAGACAGTTGACGTGTGAAATCGATGAGGTAAGCATGTCCACTTGTGCATTGCTCTATTAGGGGACTGACCCTGAGGTCGAGACGGTGGACATGTGTAAGATCTATAAAGTAAGCATGTCCACCTGTATATATCTATATAAGGAACTAACCATTTATGATTATTCTGGGGAGGTTGCTGGGAGTTTTCTTAGAAACAGATTTTTTTTTCAGTCGCAGTCTCCAGAAGGAGGAACCAAAATCTTTTTCTTCTTCCCGCCACATTGAGTTCAGAACATCTAGTATGCCTGTTGAACAGTGGTTTTTTTTGTAAAATCATTACAAAATTAATGCTATTCAGAAGTTTCTGGAAGATATTTAAAAAAAATAGAACAGTCCCAGATCCAAACTATCAACGATTGTTTTTATTGGCTCTGACAGGCCATTCATTTACAGGCGACACTCATCAGTATGTTAGCTATATCACATATGACTTGAATACTGATGATGGTGGCGGACAGGAAAGTTTTTGTAATTCTAGATCATTGTACATGATATTTATTTTTCAGAAAGTTATAGAAGTAAGTAAAGAATATTTGCCAGAGATGTCAAGCAGCTTCGCTAATCCCCGCTTGAATCTCCACATCCATGACGGCTTTGACTTCATGGGCAAACACCACGGGGAGTTTGACGTCATCATCACAGACTCCAGTGATCCTATAGGTAAGACAACTAGCTTTACTCAGGGAAGATGTGTTGTCATCTTCCCAAGGCAAGAGAGTTAACTGACTATAAAAGTCCAGTTACCACCCTTGCCGAACTAGGCTGGTATTATGGAGTTACATTTTGGCTGGACTAACGAGTCTGTGCAAACAAAACAAAACGAAATAGAAATCTGGTTCGTATGTGTCATGCAGATTTCAGTCGATTGCAGGATTTGCAAAGCATATGCACCACCAACTAGTCTACAGATATTTACCAAATCTTTTAATGTTTTTAATCAAGGTGCTCACGTGATTCGAGGTTTTGCGATGGAAGACACATTTTATCACAATCTAGATCTTGATTATCGATCAGATTGTCCTGACTGGGCGCCGCCATTTTGGTTGAAGTGGAATCTGATTGGTCTGTAGGAAAGGCTTAGAAGGGACTCATAGCCACTAGTGGCACTACAATCGAGCCCAGGAATTCCAGCCTAGTTCGGCAAGGGTGGAAACTGGACTTTTAGAGTCAGTTAATTCCCTTGCCTCGGGAAGATGATGTGTAGTTGGCAGTAGCTCCGTGTGCTGCTTGCAGTGCACAGGATAGAGTGATGTCTCGGACACTGACACTTGATGGCTGGTTGTGTTGTCAGGTCATACTGGTGGTTGTGTGCATCCACACACTACACTTCCACTGCTCTGTTGAGACCCGTGAAGATTCCGGGGTAGAACAGGTCTTCAGCAACCCGTGCTTGCCGTAAAAGGTGACTATGCTTGTCGTAAAAGGTGACTAACGGGATCTGGTGGTCAGGCTCGCTGACTTGGTTGATGCATGTCATCAATCCCATTTGCGTGGATTGATGCTCATGATGATAATCACTGGATTGTCTTGTCCAGACTCAATTATTTACAGACCGCCGTCATATAGCTGGAACCAACTGCTCTGTTGATTGTCATGTTGCACCTCGTCCTTCTGTTTTCTTATCCATCCATTACCATCAGTCCATATCTCTTTGTATTTCTGTAATCATTATATTTTCGAATATCCCAAACTTCTTTTGAAAGTATATATCATTATCTTGATTATACTTTTGAGTTGAAAACCCAATCAATGAAACCTTGGATTTTGTGGTTGCAATGTGACAGGCTTCTCTGGCATGTAACATGTGACTGTGCTGTAGTAGATGTATTGCTGGTTAGGGCTGTGCTGTAGTAGATGTATTGCTGGTTAGGGCTGTGCTGTAGTAGATGTATTGCTGGTTAGGGCTGTGCTGTAGTAGATGTATTGCTGGTTAGGGCTGTGCTGTAGTAGATGTATTGCTGCTGGTCATTGCTGTAGTAGATGTATTGCTGGACAGGGCTGTGCTGTAGTAGATGTATTGTTGGATAGGGCTGTGCTGTAGTAGATGTTTTGCTGGTTAGGGCTGTGCTGTAGTAGATGTATTGCTGCTGGGTCATTGCTGTAGTAGATGTATTGCTGGATAGGGCTGTGCTGTAGTAGATGTATTGCAGTAGATGTATTGCTGGATAGGGCTGTGCTGTAGTAGATGTATTGCTGTTGGAGCTGTGCTGTAGTAGATGTATTGCTGGATAGGGCTGTGCTGTAGTAGATGTATTGCTGGATAGGGATGTACTGTAGTAGATGTATTGCTGGTTAGGGCTGTGCTGTAGTAGATGTATTGCTGGATAGGGCTGTGCTGTAGTAGATGTATTGCTGGATAGGGCTGTGCTGTAGTAGATATATTGCTGGATAGGGCTGTGCTGTAGTAGATGTATTGCTGGATAGGGCTGTGCTGTAGTAGATGTATTGCTGGATAGGGATGTACTGTAGTAGATGTATTGCTGGTTAGGGCTGTGCTGTAGTAGATGTATTGCTGGATAGGGCTGTGCTGTAGTAGATGTATTGCTGGATAGGGCTGTGCTGTAGTAGATATATTGCTGGATAGGGCTGTGCTGTAGTAGATGTATTGCTGGATAGGGCTGTGCTGTAGTAGATATATTGCTGCTGGGGCTGTGCTGTAGTAGATGTATTGCTGAATAGGGCTGTGCTGTAGTAGATGTATTGCTGAATAGGGCTGTGCTGTAGTAGATGTATTGCTGGATAGGGCTGTGCTGTAGTAGATGTATTGCTGTATAGGGCTGTGCTGTAGTAGATGTATTGCTGGATAGGGCTGTGCTGTAGTAGATGTATTGCTGGATAGGGCTGTGCTGTAGTAGATGTATTGCTGGATAGGGCTGTGCTGTAGTAGATGTATTGCTGTATAGGGCTGTGCTGTAGTAGATATATTGCTGCTGGGGCTGTGCTGTAGTAGATGTATTGCTGAATAGGGCTGTGCTGTAGTAGATGTATTGCTGGATAGGGCTGTGCTGTAGTAGATGTATTGCTGCTGGGGCTGTGCTATAGTAGATGTATTGCTGTGCTGTAGTAGATGTATTGCTGGATAGGGCTGTGCTGTAGTAGATGTATTGCTGTATAGGGCTGTGCTGTAGTAGATGTATTGCTGGATAGGGCTGTGCTGTAGTAGATGTAACAACTGTAGTTTTTTAGTTCACAATTCTGGTCATGTTTCAGGCCCTGCATCGTCACTGTTTGAGAAGTCCTACTATGAACTAATGAAGAAGGCCCTCAGACCGGGAGGCATCCTCTGTAGTCAAGGTGAGTCCCACTCCCATCTGTAGTCAGGGTAGCCCTCCTCTCCCCTGTTGTCAGGGTAGCCCTTCTCTCCTCTGTAGTCAGGGTAGCCCTTCTCTCCTCTGTAGTCAGGGTAGCCCTCCTCTCATCTGTAGTCATGGTAGCCCTCCTCTCCCCTGTAGTCAGGGTAGCCATCCTCTCCTCTGTAGTCAGGGTAGCCATCCTCTCCTCTGTAGTCAGGGTAGCCCTACTCCCATCTGTAGTCAAGGATACACCTCCTCTCCTCTGTCCTCTAGTCAAGGGTAGTGCTTGTCTCCTCTGCCCTCCAGTCAAGGATAGTGCTTCTCTCCTCTGTCCTCTAGTCAAGGATAGTGCTTCTGTCCTCTGTCCTCTAGTCAAGGATAGTGCTTCTCTCCTCTGTCCTCTAGTCAAGGATAGTGCTTCTCTCCTCTGTCCTCTAGTCAAGGATAGTGCTTCTCTCCTCTGTCCTCTAGTCAAGGATAGTGCTTCTCTCCTCAGTCCTCTAGTCAAGGATAGTGCTTCTCTCCTCTGTCCTCTAGTCAAGAAGAGTCCAATTGTCCTCTGTCCACTAGTTAAGGGTAGTAATTGTCTCCTCTTTTCTCCAGTCAAGAGGAGTCCAATTGCCCTCTAGTCAAGGATAGTGCTTCCCTCCTCTGTCCTCTAGTTAAGGATAGTGCTTCTCTCCTCTGTCCTCTAGTCAAGAAGAGTCCAATTGTCCTCTGTCCTCCAGTCAAGGGTAGTGCTTGTCTCCTCTTTCCTCCAGTCAAGAAGAGTCCAATTGTCCTCTGTCCTCTAGTCAGGGAGAGTCCAATTGTCCTCTGTCTTCTGATCAAGGAGAGTCCAATTGTCCTCTGTCCTCTAGTCAAGGAGAGTCCAATTGTCCTCTGTCCTCTAGTCAAGGAGAGTCCAATTGTCCTCTGTCCTCTAGTCAAGGAGAGTCCAATTGTCCTCTGTCCTCTAGTCAAGGAGAGTCCAATTGTCCTCTGTCCTCTAGTCAAGAGTAGTCCTACTTTCCTCTGTAGCCAAGGTGAGTCCATTTGTCCCATCCTTCGTAGTCCAGTCATTCAGTATTTGCCCCCTTTGTCTTAGACTGGTCCAACATCTGCTGGTTGTAGTAGACAGCTTGATGGACTGGTTGGCCAGACTTGATGTTTAAAGAACCAAACAAACACAACCATTCAGAATGCTGTAGCAGCCTAATGGTTAGAAAATGTTTGTATATATATATAGTGAACTCCTTGCTGCTTGAATATTATTATCATCTTTACTATGATATGTATTCTAAAAATGAAAACACGTGTTTAAGGTGATCATTAATGTTCATTGAAAGGGGGCACGGGTGGCCCAGTGGTCTAAGGCGCCGCGATTCGCTGTGCAGAGTTGCGTCCCTTGGGCACGCCAGAAACCTATGATTGTGGGTTCGAATCCCAGTTCGCCCCAATTATGTTTCTAGGTTTGTCAGCCCCATACCCGTTCTCGCGGGTTTCATCGAAGTGGTAAACGTCTGAGACATGCATCACTTCGGGCTTTCCTCCCACATTAAGCTGACACGCCGTGATATAACTGGAATAATGTTAAAAGTGGCGTTAAACCAAACTCACTCACTCACTCACTCACTCATTGAAAAGACATTTGATTGCAGGGGAGTGTGTGTGGCTCCATTTGGAACTCATCCGGAATATGCTGGATTTCTGTAAGACCATCTACCCCTCAGTCAGCTACAGCTACACCACGATACCCACGTACCCCAGCGGCCAGATCGGCTTTGTGATGTGTAGTCTTAACCCAGTAAGTATCCAGGCCATGATACCCACGTCACCCAGCGGCCAGATCGGCTTTGTGTTGTGTGGTCTGAACCCAATAAGTATCCAGGCCACGATGCCCACATACCCCAGTGGCCAGATCGGCTTTTTGTTGTGTGGTCTGATCCCAGTAAGCATCCAGGCCACGATGCCCATGAACCCCACCGGCCAGATCGGCTTTTTGTTGTGTGGTCTGAACCCAGTAAGTATCCAGGCCACAATACCCATGAACCCCACCGGCCAGATTGGCTTTGTGATGTGTAGTCTGATAGCAGTAAGTATCCAGACCATGATACCCACGTAGCCCAGCGGCCAGATCGGATTTGTAGTGTGTAGTCTGAACCCAGTAAGTATCCAGGCCACGATACCTACGTACCCCAGCGGCCAGATCGGCTTTGTGGTGTGTGGTCTGAACCCAGTAAGTATCCAGACCATGATACCCACGTACCCCAGCGGCCAGATCGGCTTTGTGGTGTGTAGTCTGAACCCAGTAAGTATCCAGGCCACGATGCCAATGTACCCCAGTGGCCAGATCGGATTTGTGATGTGTAGTCTGATAGCAGTAAGTATCCAGGCCATGATACCCACGTACCCCGGTGGGCAGATCGGCTTTGTGTTGTGTGGTCTGAACCCAATAAGTATCCAGGCCACGATGCCCATGTACCCCAGCAGCTAGATCGGCTTTTTGTTGTGTGGTCTGAACCCAGTAAGTATCCAGGCCACGATGCCCATGTACCCCAGTGGCCAGATCGGATTTGTGATGTGTAGTCTGATAGCAGTAAGTATCCAGGCCACGATACCTACGTACACCAGTGGCCAGATCGGATTTGTGATGTGTAGTCTGATAGCAGTAAGTATCCAGACCATGATACCCACGTACCCCAGCGGCCAGATTGGTTTTGTGATGTGTAGTCTGAACCCAGTAAGTATCCAGGACACGATACCTACGTACCCCAGCGGCCAGATCAGATTTGTGATGTGTAGTCTGAACCCAGTAAGTATCCAGGCCACGATACCTACGTACCCCAGCGGCCAGATCGGCTTTGTGATGTGTAGTCTGATAGCAGTAAGTATCCAGGCCATGATACCCACGTACCCCGGTGGGCAGATCGGCTTTGTGTTGTGTGGTCTGAACCCAATAAGTATCCAGGCCACGATGCCCATGAACCCCAGCGGCCAGATCGGCTTTGTGATGTGTAGTCTGATAGCAGTAAGTATCCAGGCCATGATACCCACGTACCCCGATGGGCAGATTGGCTTTGTGTTGTGTGGTCTGAACCCAATAAGTATCCAGGCCACGATGCCCATGTACTCCAGTGGCCAGATCGGCTTTGTGTTGTGTGGTCTGAACCCAATAAGTATCCAGGCCACGATGCCCATGTACCCCAGCGGCTAGATCGGCTTTTTGTTGTGTGGTCTGATCCCAGTAAGCATCCAGGCCAAGATGCCCATGAACCCCAGTGGCCAGATCGGCTTTGTGTTGTGTGGTCTGAACCCAGTAAGTATCCAGGCCAAGATACCTACGTACACCAGCGGCCAGATCGGCTTTGTGTTGTGTGGTCTGAACCCAGTAAGTATCCAGGCCAAGATACCTACGTACCCCAGTGGCCAGATCGGCTTTGTGTTGTGTGGTCTGAACCCAATAAGTATCCAGGCCACGATGCCCATGTACCCCAGCGGCTAGATCGGCTTTTTGTTGTGTGGTCTGATCCCAGTAAGCATCCAGGCCACGATGCCCATGAACCCCAGTGGCCAGATCGGCTTTTTGTTGTGTGGTCTGATCCCAGTAAGCATCCAGGCCACGATGCCCATGTACCCCAGTGGCCAGATTGGCTTTGTGATGTGTAGTCTGATAGCAGTAAGTATCCGCACCGTGATACCCACATACCCCAGCGGCCAGATCGGCTTTGTGGTGTGTAGTCTGAACCCAGTAAGTATCCAGGCCACGATACCTACGTACACCAGCGGCCAGATCGGCTTTGTGGTGTGTGGTCTGAACCCAGTAAGTATCCACACCGTGATACCCACATACCCCAGCGGCCAGATCGGCTTTGTGTTGTGTGATCTGAACCCAGTAAGTATCCAGGCCAAGATACCTACGTACCCCAGCGGCCAGATCGGCTTTGTGTTGTGTAGTGTGGTAATTCAGTTATCTGGTATCCATGGTAAACTGCCGCCTGCTCTTTCTCAGTTGTCTAGCGCCATAAAACCATCATAAATCAACATGTCAACACACAGACATGCATGCATAACACTGTACAAGTGCAATAATCGCAAATGCGACGTTAAATGCCCTTTCACGTCACTCACTTCACCTTAAACTGTCTAGAATTGTACATAGCATAGAGTGTAAAATTGGTCTTCAGCAACCCATGCTGGCCCTAAAAGGGGACTATGCTTGTCGTAAGAGGCGACTAACGGGATTGGGTGGTCAGGCTCGCTGACATGGTTCATGCATGTCATCGACCCCAATTGCTTGGATCGATGCTCAGGATATTAATCACTGGATTGTATGGTCCAGACTCGATTATTTACAGACCGCTGACATATAGGTGGAATATCGCTGAGTGCGGCGTTAAACAAACAAACGAACAAAGTATATTTTGTTTCTTCATGGAATGATGACTGTTCTTGCCAGGAAATGAACTTTGAGGACCCCATCAATGCCCTGAGCCGGGAGCAGGCAGAGAAGCTCAAGATGAAGTATTACAACACTGCCATCCATAAAGCCGCGTTTGTACTTCCGGAGTTTGCAAGAAAGGTGAGTCATTCTTATCAGTGTCACGATATCACATTTACCCTGTGATAAGCTGTGGCAGAACATTTACCTTGTGATAAGCTGGGGCAGAACTTTAACCTCAAGATAAACTGTGGCAGACATTTTACCTTATGATAAGCTGTGGCAGAACTTTTACCTTATGATAAACTGTGGCAGACATTTTACCTTATGATAAACTGTGGCAGAACTTTTACCCTGTGATAAACTGTAGCAGAACATTTACCTCGTGATAAACTGTGGCAGAACATTTACCTCAAGATAAACTGGCAGAACATTTACCTCATGATAAACTGGCAGAACATTTACCTCAAGATAAACTGTGGCAGAACATTTACCTCATGATAAACTGTGGCAGAACATTTACCTCATGATAAACTGTGGCAGAACATTTACCTCAAGATAAACTGTGGCAGAACATATACCCCATGATAAATTGTGGCAGAACATTTACCTCAAGATAAACTGTGGCAGAACATTTACCTCAAGATAAACTGGCAGAACATTTACCTCATGATAAACAGGCAGAACATTTACCTCAAGATAAACTGTGGAAGAACATTTACCTCATGATAAACTGTGGCAGAACATTTACCTCATGATAAACTGTAGCAGAACATTTACCTTATGATAAACTGTACCAGAACATTTACCTTATGATAAACTGTGGCAGAACATTTACCTCAAGATAAACTGTGGCAGAACATTTACCTCATGATAAACTGTGGCAGAACATATACCCCATGATAAACTGTGGCAGAACTTTTACCTCATGATAAACTGTGGCAGAACATTTACCTCATGATAAACTGTAGCAGAACATTTACCTTATGATAAACTGTAGCAGAACAAATACCTTATGATAAACTGTAGCAGAACTGTTACCTCATGATAAAGTGTAGCAGAACATTTACCTTATGATAAACTGTAGCAGAACATTTACCTTGTGATAAACTGTGGGGGAACTTTTACCTTGTGATAAACTGTAGCAGAACTTTTACCTCATGATAAACTGTAGCAGAACATTTACCTTATGATAAACTGTAGCAGAACAATTACCTTATGATAAACTGTAGCAGAACTGTTACCTCATGATAAACTGTAGCAGAACATTTACCTTATGATAAACTGTAGCAGAACATTTACCTTGTGATAAACTGTGGGGGAACTTTTACCTTGTGATAAACTGTAGCAGAACTTTTACCTCATGATAAACTGTAGCAGAACATTTACCTTATGATAAACTGTAGCAGAACATTTACCTTATAATAAACTGTGGCAGAACTTTTACCTTGTGATAAACTGTAGCAGAACTTTTACTTTGTGATAAACTGGAGCAGAACTTTTACCTTGTGATAAACTGTAGCAGAACATTTATGTCAAGATAAACTGTGGCGGAACATTTACCTCATGATAAACTGTGGCAGAACATTTACCTTATGATAAACTGTGGGGGAACTTTTACCTTGTGATAAACTGTAGCAGAACATTTACGTCAAGATAAACTGGCAGAACTTTTACCTCATGATAAACTGTGGGGGAACTTTTACCTTGTGATAAACTGTAGCAGAACATTTACGTCAAGATAAACTGGCAGAACTTTTACCTCATGATAAACTGGCAGAACATTTACCTCATGATAAACTGGCAGAACATTTACCTCATGATAAACTGTAGCAGAACATTTACCTTATGATAAACTGTAGCAGAACATTTACCCCATGATAAACTGTGGCAGAACATTTACCTCAAGATAGACAGTGGCAGAACATTTACCTCATGATAAACTGTGGCAGAACATATACCCCATGATAAACTGTAGCAGAACTTTTACCTCATGATAAACTGTGGAAGAACATTTACCTCATGATAAACTGTGGCAGAACATTTACCTTATGATAAACTGTAGCAGAACATTTACCTTATGATAAACTGTAGCAGAACTGTTACCTCATGATAAACTGTAGCAGAACATTTACCTTATGATAAACTGTAGCAGAACATTTACCTTATAATAAACTGTGGCAGAACTTTTACCTTGTGATAAACTGTAGCAGAACTTTTACTTTGTGATAAACTGGAGCAGAACTTTTACCTTGTGATAAACTGTAGCAGAACATTTATGTCAAGATAAACTGTGGCGGAACATTTACCTCATGATAAACTGTGGCAGAACATTTACCTTATGATAAACTGTGGGGGAACTTTTACCTTGTGATAAACTGTAGCAGAACATTTACGTCAAGATAAACTGGCAGAACTTTTACCTCATGATAAACTGTGGGGGAACTTTTACCTTGTGATAAACTGTAGCAGAACATTTACGTCAAGATAAACTGGCAGAACTTTTACCTCATGATAAACTGTGGCGGAACATTTACCTCATGATAAACTGGCAGAACTTTTACCTCATGATAAACTGGCAGAACTTTTACCTTGTGATAAACTGTGGGGGAACTTTTACCTTGTGATAAACTGTAGCAGAACATTTACGTCAAGATAAACTGGCAGAACTTTTACCTCATGATAAAATGGCAGAACTTTTACCTCATGATAAACTGTAGCAGAACATTTACCTTATGATAAACTGTAGCAGAACTGTTACCTCATGATAAAGTGTAGCAGAACATTTACCTTATGATAAACTGTAGCAGAACATTTACCTTGTGATAAACTGTGGGGGAACTTTTACCTTGTGATAAACTGTAGCAGAACTTTTACCTCATGATAAACTGTAGCAGAACATTTACCTTATGATAAACTGTAGCAGAACATTTACCTTATAATAAACTGTGGCAGAACTTTTACCTTGTGATAAACTGTAGCAGAACTTTTACTTTGTGATAAACTGGAGCAGAACTTTTACCTTGTGATAAACTGTAGCAGAACATTTATGTCAAGATAAACTGGCAGAACTTTTACCTCATGATAAAATGGCAGAACTTTTACCTCATGATAAACTGGCAGAACTTTTACCTTGTGATAAACTGTGGGGGAACTTTTACCTTGTGATAAACTGTAGCAGAACATTTACGTCAAGATAAACTGGCAGAACTTTTACCTCATGATAAAATGGCAGAACTTTTACCTCATGATAAACTATGGCAGAACATATACCCCATGATAAACTGTAGCAGAACTTTTACCTCATGATAAACTGTAGCAGAACATTTACCTTATGATAAACTGTAGCAGAACAGACTGCCTCTGTGGTCTAGTGGTAGAGGGTTTGCCCAGAGTGGAATGTCGGGGTTCGATCCCTGGCCGCGTCAAACCAAAAGATGTTAATTGATTGTACTTGTTGTTACCCTGCCTGGCACATGGCGCTAAGGGTATAAAACATGGACCGGTCGGCCCGGAGTCCGTATACTGTGTCTGAATAGGGTATCTATGTTAAGCTGCTGTATGCCATCTCAGTCCCAATAAGTACAATAAAATTCATGGCGTCTTACCCCATTTAACGTTACCTCATCGTGGGAACTGTTTATTTTGTAATACTCTCCTTTGATTTCAGGCTCTTCAAGATGCATGATGTACATTCCTGATGTCCGCCGGCCAGTAACCATGGTAACACAGGTTACCAATGGTTACACACTGATGTTTATACCTCTACAGATGTATATCACTGTTTAATCATGGCACACAGTTGGGGGAGGGATTGTTTTCGACATGTGTTTTTTGTTGCATATTTGTTATGTTTCTGTATTTTTAAAAAAACATGCGATTCCAGAACAGAAGAGATTGCCAAATTGTGGATTGGTTGGCCAAACTGTTTGACATGGCTGTATCATCTTACTCTGATGGCTGGGTTGTTTGTCAATCTCAATATTATCTACACAATTTCGGTGACATTTTTTTCTATTGTTCATTTTTTAGATTTTAACCGGAGAACTTTGTCAAAATATTATTATTAAAAATATCATAAGCATAGTCTTGAATGGAAGTCTTTCGGATTGGCTCATATCGATTTCAGATGTCCTCAGGGGCGGTCGGGTAGCCTATTGGTTAAAGCGTGCGCTCGTCATGCCGAAGACCCGGGTTGAATTCCCGATATGGGTACAACGTGTGAAGCCCATTTCTGGTGTCCCCCGCCGTGATATTGCTGGAATATTGCTAAAAGCGGCTTAAGACCATACTCATTCACTTACTACTCACTCTTATTGTTCATTGTTCAGATGTCCTCAGATCTTTGTGTAGATTGTTGGCCTTGGTTTCTGTCACTGGTTTGGCAGGCTAGGCCCTCAGTACTTCCATGCTTGTTAGCGATAACTAAAGTGGGGATTTGTCATTGTCAATACTTCATGTTTGTATACACTGTGTTCCAACATGACATATTGAATACAGAGCTGCCATTCAGTTTAGTCCCAGTTTTTACCAAAGATTCCAGAAAAGGCATGGTTCCAGCAAGGGTAGGGGCAGTCGGGTAGCCTAGTGGTTAAAGCGTTCGCTCACGCTGGAGCCGCGTGTTCGATTCCCCACATGGGTACAACGTGTGAAGCCCATTTGTAGCGTTGAACGCCATGATATTGCTGGAATATTGCTAAAAGTGGTGTAAAACCATACTCACTCACTCCTACATGGCACATTGAATACAGCGCTGCCATTCAGTTGAGTCCCTGTTCTTGCCAAATATTCGAGAAAAGGCATGGTTCCATCAAAAGAGGGGGCGGTCGGGTAGCCTACTGTTTAAAGCGTTCGCTCGTCACGCCGAAGACCTGGGTTCAATTCCCGACATGGGTACAATGTGTGAAGCCCATTTCTGGCGTTAGACGCTGTGATATTGCTGGAATATTGCTAAACGCGGCGTAAAACCATACTCACTCACTCCTACAAGGCACATTGAATACAGCGCTGCCATTCATTTGAGTCCCTGTTTTTGCCAAATATTCCAGTAAGAAGGCATGGTTCCAGCAAGAGAGGACCCATTACCCAGATTAATGTGTTCTCAGCCTAGTTCACTCAAACAGCAATGTTCCTCGTGTTGTAGGTTGTGTCATAGCTTGTGTCATGGCCATGTGGCTGCCTACTCCAGAGGTGGAGGCGTTAAACAAACAAACAAACAAATAAACAGGTTGTGTTCACATAAAGTTCATGCACAGTGTCTAGCTCATTAGCCTCACTTTTTGATGAAATGTTGACTATTTGTTATATGTTGGGGGCAGCTTGGTAGCCTAGGGGTTTGACGTTTGACCATACTCCTGTCAAAATCTATTTAGATACACTATAAACCGATCTGGTCATGCATACACTGACCGCCTCCATGATCTAGTGGATAGAGCGTCCGCCCGGAGAGCGGAAGGTCCGGAGTTCGATCCCCCGCCGCATCATACCAAAAGACGTTAAAAGATGGTACTTGTTGTGACCCTGTCTGGTGCTCGGCATTAAGGGGCTAAAACAAGGACTGGTCGGCTGGGAGTTGGGTATTCATGTTAAACTGCACCATGGTATCTCAGTGGGCTAGCACTATAAATCGGCATCAGTCCGGACTAATACAAGCAGCCACACACACACACACACACACACACGTGCATGCACGTCGCTATATAAGTGCAATAATCTTGGATGAAACGTTAAACCCAAATTCACCTAACCTCATGCAGACACTGAAGTTGACTGAAATTTTATCTTTATGCAAACATATACAGTCAGAAGGAATGTGCACATCGTCGGAAAGAAATGTGAAAATTTGTCGCTTATAGTGTAACCATAGATAATTTTTGCCATTAAACAATATAATCATGTGACTGACCACGGGTCCGGGTAGTCCTGTGGGTACCTGTGTCCTACTCAGTACCCACTCGACCCGAATACCCGAGTTACCTGTCCCAGCCTGAGTGAATCCCATGTCTGGCGTACCCCTGCCTAGATATTGCTGGAATATTGCAAAAAGCTGCGCAAAACCAAACTCACACTCTCACTTGCACTCTCACTCACTCAATTGTTCATGTTGATTGGTTAATTACAAATAGTGACTAGGGGAGGAACATAATTTATGCAAATGTATTGATGACTTGACAGTAACATTGTTGACTATGCTGTATAAGAACACTAATTAAAACCACAAAGGACGCAACGGGCCACAAATAGCTGAAAGGTTGTCACAGCTTGGCTTCATTTGGTCATTCATGAAGTTTGCTTTTATGTCTAAATATGACGCTAAAATTGACCCCTTACAGCAGGAAACATTAAATGTTTCAACATTCTCATCAAGGTTTGGATGAGCAGTAGCTAGTTAGTCTATATGTTCTATGCAATAAGATCATGTATAGTGATACCTGGCTGTCAGGGTGGAGACCATGCCAAAGACTAAGTTGTTTGGTACTGTCGGTAAACTGTCGGTCAACATCAGCCCTGGAAAACTGGATTCCTTTAGACCCGTGAAGATCCGGGGTAGAATAGGTCTTCAGCAACCCATGCTTGCCGTAAAAGGCGACTATGCTTGTTGTAAGAGGTAACTAACGAGATGTGGTCAGGCTCACTGACTTGGTTGATGCATGTCATGGTAACCCAATTGCATGGATCGATGGTCATGATGTCAATCACTGGATTGTCTTGTCCAGACTCCATTATTTACAGACCACCAACTTTTAGCTGGAATATTGCTGAGTGTGGAGTTACACAACAAACAAACAAACAAACAAACAAACAAATGGATTCCTTTAAGGTTTTGTCTGCTACTCAAAGACTTTTTGCATTAGAGACTATTCTTCCAAATTACCTTGGGGATTTGTTTGGCAAATGTCATGAAAATGTAAACCATATTTGGGAGTTTTGTAAAACATGGTAATATCATTATGAATTTTTTTAGGCATGGTTACCTTGACAGTCAGGAAATTTGGTTGCAAATCAAATCCTACCACATCAAACCTAGGTCATAGTCTGGATGTAATGTTCAAAGGTATATTAAGACTCTTGAGAAACTCTTGATTAATTACTTGGAAGGGCTGCTACTGTTTTTGCCTGTAGTTGCAAACACCTCTAGCATGTTTAGTTGTTTTGGGTCACATTTTCAGATCATATTTTTCATTTCAAGTCGCAGGTAATAATGAGATAGAATCTTGTAATATGTAGCTTTGATAGCTTTCACAAATGTGTAGTTGGGGTGAAAAGGATACTTTTATGTGGTGATATGAAAGTGGGGTTCCTAGTACCTGATGCAGGTTTTGAAATTTGGCAGTTGCCATGTTTTGAGCTGTCGTGATATGGAAGTATGTAGGTACGCAACAAGAACATATCTCGTAAACTTCCATCAGTATATCAACCGTATTCCTGTTTGTACGTATATAAAGATGTCGCCATACGCCTATGTCAGAAAGAGATCCATATTGCCATACTTTTAGTCACAACACAGTATTTGTTGCAATAGCATTTTGCACGAAGGTCCCATGTGTTGCGGTTATGGCGCTACCAGCTAGTCTTCTAGGCACATGAATGGTTAATCTTGGCCTCTTCTAATGACCTTATGCTATCAGATTTAGCTTTGTTTCGTGATACGTGTTAAGGTAACATTGATAGGATTGCTTTGTGGAATGTAATAAGCTCCATTTTCTGGTGTTTCTTTCAGTGATTTTGATAAAGATGAATGTATGGATGATTTATAACAGGAAGTGGCGTTGTTGATACAATAAGCAGCTTCCAACAGTATCTACTCTCGTGCTATGTGTTTGGTGTCAGTGTTGCTGTGTGCTTGTGTTATGTATGCTGTTTGATGCAGGGTGGGTGATTCTTCACATAGATGTTGTGCACTAGAGCGCCAGATCAGCTGTGTACCGTTAACTGTTAGTTGTGCACTAGAGCGCCAGATCAGCTGTGTACCGTTAACTGTTAGTTGTGCACTAGAGCGCCAGATCAGCTGTGTACCGTTAACTGTTAGTTGTGCACTAGAGCGCCAGATCAGCTGTGTACCGTTAACTGTTAGTTGTGCACTAGAGCGCCAGATCAGCTGTGTACCGTTAACTGTTAGTTGTGCACTAGAGCGCCAGATCAGCTGTGTGCCGTTAACTGTTAGTTGTGCCCTAGAGCGCCAGATCAGCTGTGTACTGTTAACTGTTAGTTGTGCCCTAGAGCGCCAGATCAGCTGTGTACCGTTAACTGTTAGTTGTGCCCTAGAGCGCCAGATCAGCTGTGTGCCGTTAACTGTTAGTTGTGCACTAGAGCGCCAGATCAGCTGTGTGCCGTTAACTGTTAGTGGTAAGTGTTCGCTTTTCACGATGAAGACCCGATTACTGCATGGGTACAATGTGTGAAGCCCATTTCTGGTTTCCCCCTCTGCGATATTGCTGGAATATTGCCCGAAGCGCGTAAAACCATACTCTCTCTCTGTAACATGGACATAGTTGTGACCGTTGCTATGTGCAACACACTTTGGTCAGCCCCTGAACAGAGGCAAATCAGAAGTCATGAAACCACATTTCAGTAGAATTATTTTAATGAGGTCCTCTATTGTTTTTAAAATACTCAACATAATGGGCCCAAGGAAGAAAGCATATATCAGATACCATGATAATACTAACAGTGCCCAGTTGGAATGAGGTGAATAAATACCCAATGGCTCAAAATAGTATCTGGACTGGTGGTGCATCACCTTGTGAAACTTAATTACTGTGACAACCTGGCATTATTTTCTTTATACCTGCTCTCTTATTGTCCGATGTAATGGGCCATTTCACCATACATATTGTTATCACTCTGATCCCCTGTTGGGGGCATGGGTGTCCAATGTGTTTTCTCTGTGCAAAGTTGCATCCCTTAGGTTTGACAGAGATTGTGGGTTCAAAACCTTGTCATCCGTGCTTCTCAACACAATACCCATGCTGGTAGAGTTTACCAAGTTCTGAGGCCTTTATATCATTTCGGGCTCTCCTCCAACATGAATCTGACATGCTGTGACATAACTGAAATACTGTTCAAAGCTGCATTGACCCTTAAAGTCACGGGTGAGAATAGGTCTTCAGCTAACTATGCTTGTCATAAGAGGCGACTAATGGTATCGGGTGGTCAGGCTTGCTGACTTGGTTGATGCATGTCATCGTATCCAAATTTCCTAGATCGATGCTCATGATGGCAATCACTGGATTGTCTGTCCCAGACTCTATTATTTACAGACTGCTGTCATACAACTTGAAATATTGCTGAGGACGGCGTTTAACAAACGCTACAGTGAACTGCCCCGTTAAGTAACCCCTAACTGGGAACAGGGGTCAATTGTTTTTCGATCAAGTAGGTATCAGTGTATGGGGCTTATTACAGTAGATCCTGCTGTGTGACCTCATCTGCATATTTTTGTTTGCATCCTCTCATCTAGATGGGCCCCCAAGACATGTTTCCGGGTTCCTGACAGAACCGGAGCCACCGATCCTGTACTTATTTTTTCAAAAGTTCCCCCAAATCTTTTACCTGGTATTTGAGGTTGTATGTCTGCTACTTGTGTTAATTAGTTGCTCTCCACTGCAGATAAACTCGTCTAATGCGTCGCAATTCGCTGTGCAGAGTTACGCCCCTTTGTGACGCCAGAAACCTATGATCGTGGGTTCGAATCCCTGTTCGCCCGACTATGTTTCTAGGTCTGTCCACACCATACCCATGCTTGTGGGTTTCACCAAAGTGGTAAACGTCTGAGACCTGCATCACTTCAGGCTTCCCCCAACATTGAGCTCACACGCCGTGATGTAACTGGAACACTGTTCAAAACGGCGTTAATCCAACTCACTCGCTTTCTTTGGTGCACATAGGAATTACGTACTTGGTGTGCTTTGGCTTGCGGGAGATTGGTTTTGTTTTGTGTATGGTCTGCATTGTATCCGCTGTCCTGGGCCACGTTGCACAAAGCCATCGTAGCGCTAAGGTGATCGTAACTTCCATACTTCAAGAAGCATCGCGACAGTCGAAGCGCAAAGATCGCTTTGTGCAAGGGAGCCCTGGTTGTAGATGCTAGTCAATTTATGTCAGGTATCCCTCTAGTCATAAATGATGGACCAACTATCTTCTTGTCAGACGAACCAATTATTCAGGTTTCTACAATGCATTAACGTCTGAAGTAAACATGTATATATATCATTGAGTGACTTGTGTTGTTTGTTTCCTGAATCTCGGGACACTGTGGCTATGTGTGTTTGTTTGTTTGTTGTTTAACGCCGTACTCAGCAATAGTCCAGCTATATGACGGCGGTTTGTAAATTATTGAGTCAGGACCAGACAATCCAGTGATTGACATCGTGAGCATCGATCTACGCAATTGGGATACGATGACATGCATCAACCAAGTCAGCAGTCTGACCTCCCGATCTCGTTAGCCGTAAAAGGCGGCAATGCTTGTCGTAAGGGACGACTTGCAGGATCGGATCCCAATTGCGTGGATCGATGCACAGGAAGTAGTCCATGGATTGTCTGGTCCAGAGTCGATTATTTTTCAGACTGCCGTCATTTAGCTGGAATATTGCTGAGTGCGGCGTTACATGTACTGCTATTCTTTGTGATTGTTTACTAGGGGCGGTCGGGTAGCCTAGTGGTTAAAGCGTTCGCTCGTCACGCCGAAGACCCGGGTTCGATTCCCGACATGGGTACATTGTGTGAAGCCCATTTCTGGTGTCCCCCGCCGTGATATTGCTGGAATATTGCTAAAAGCGGCGTAAAACAATACTCACTCACTCACTCACTTTGTGATTGTTTACTCAATACAAGACATAGTTGTATTCCACTTTTAGACGCGTTAATATGTGTCAGACTTATGTGCTTGTTCATGTATGGTGCGACCGCCTCCGTGATCTAGTGGTAGAGCGTCCGCCCGGAGATCGGAAGGTCCGGGGTTCGATCCCCGGCCGCGTCATACCTAAAGACGTTAAAAGATGGTACTTGTTGTTACCCTGTCTGGCGCTCGGCATTAAGGGGCTAAAACAAGGACTGGTCGGCTCGGAGTCAGTAAACTGTGTCTGAGTGGGGTATTCATGTTAAACTGCGGCATGGTATCTCAGTGAGCTAGCACTATAAATCGGCATTAGTCCCGAACAGTACAAGCAGCCACACGCACACACACGTGCTTGCACGTCGCTATATAAGTGCAATAATCTTGGACGCAACGTTAAACCAAATTTCACCTCACCTCACCTCGTGTGGTGCATTCAGTTTAAATGGTTGTTCAATGTTATCAGAAGTGATGACCATGGAAAACAAAGACTGTGCAGATATATATTTATTACAAAAAATAAATAACACAAATAAAAACTTGATAATATTCAAATTGCAGTGATAACACAGAATTATAAAAAAAAACACAATTGCGATGTTGCTGAAATGACATCACATATACCCTGTAAAACCAATGCGACCTTCATCAGGCCCGTGAAGATCCTGGAATAGAAGGGGTCTTCACAACCCATGCTTGCCGTAAAAGGCGACTAACGGGATCGGTTGATGCATGTCATCGATCCCAATTGCGTGGATCGATGCTTATGATATTAATCACTAGATTGCCTGGTCTAGACTCGATTATTTACAGACCGCCATCATTTAGCTGCAATATTGCTGAGGGAGGCGTTAAACAACCAACAAACCAAACGACCTGAATCATGTTTCCCTCCCACGATAACACCGTGATAAAACGTAAATACTGTTAAAAGCGGCGGTAAAGTCACTCACTCACTCACTGTATGCGTCTGGTATTTGTGTCATTCGCACACTCCGGGTGTGGGCGCTGTTCATAAGGTCTATGGGTTAAAAAAGACCTTTCTTCTGAGACGACTGGTCATCTCCGAAGTCTGGATAGTGAGCGACCCGTCGTCATCCAGGTGCTCAAGTTCGGACATCTTGCGATTGACTTCGGTCATCATATCCAGGAGGTGGTCACTGCAAGGAGTAAGATAATGGTACATTGTATATAATAGGTCAGTCAGCATCGTAACACGCCAAGTGTGGAGCTAGAAACTTGGAAAAGTACATATATGTCCACATGCATATGTCCAGTTTATGTCCAGCTATTTGTGAATGACGTCATATGGGGCAGTGTTTAGGTTAGAGGGTAGCAATATCTGAATTCAAACATTAAATGGAGCGGTCGGGTAGCCAAGTGGTTAAAGCGTTCGGTCGTCACGCTGAAGACCCAGGGTCGATTCCCGCCGTGATATCCCTGAAATATTGCCTCAAGCGGCGTAAAACCACTCACTCAAACATTAAATTTAATTGTGAACTAATTTGAAAGAATGATTCGAGCAAGATCTCGTTGCAGGAGAATGATCGTTATACAACTGAAATACTGTTGAGAACGGTTAAAAGCCAACTCACTCGCAAGCAGTGATCCAGATTTACGTTACAAAACATTTTCCATTTTAGAACTGATGAGTTTACTGAATAAAAATGACCATTCTAGTAGATTTCCATTCGTCACCACTCGCCCCTTTCTGTAACCTGCAAGAAGACTCGTTCCCCTATCGATGAATGTTATGTGCGAAAATACGACAAACCAATCAGAATGCGCGTATGATTTCGAGTTCTTTGTCAAATAATCCGTCAGAAATAATTTTTGATTTTACATATGTCTTGCACCTAAAGATATACCCAAGACACAGTTAAATATGTTCAATCATACTGTATAATTCCGCACGTCCCGATGTGCTTTAAATTGCATCTGAAATAAATATCACATATATGGGGAAATATATGTGAACCATTACGCAACGAGTTGACAATTGTTTTAGGTATACCCGTTTGCGCTAAGACGGAACCCAGTCGCAAAAATTGCCATGAGAGGGGCACGAGTCGCTATTCGGCTTGTCCCGGAATAACACGAGTTGCTCACGAATGGTAGATTTCATGTTTAATTCCTAAAAAAAACACGAATAATATTGTATTCGGAAAAGACACAAATTAAATGTATATAACAAGGTTCAATGTAGACACACATACAAAACGACTTCATCCTTTCTGTGGAATGTATGCTATGCAGGCACGTATTGGTATAGGGGAGATAACTCTTGGGTAACTTCACGTGCGAGGTGCCTCACATGTATGGCACTTCACGTGCGATGGATCACGTGGTCGCCGGTGTCAGCTATCTTAGATGTTATGCACGACTGTAAGATTCCTGAATAAATATTGGAACCTACTCAAGACTTAAATTGTCATACGACGGATACAACACTTTCGTTTCATCAGGGGGCACGGGTGGCCCAGTCGTCTAAGGCGCCGCGATTCGCTGTGCAGAGTTGCGTCCCTTGGGCACACAAGAAACCTATGATTGTGGATTCGAATCCCGGTTCGTCCCGATTATGTTTCTAGGTTTGTCAGCACCATACCCGTGCTCGTGGGTTTCAACGACGTGGTAAACGTCTGAGACCTGCATCACTTCGGGCTTTTCTCCCACATTAGGCTGACACGACTAGATTTAACTGGAATACTGTTAAAAGCGGCGTTAAACCAAACTCACTCACTCGTTTGATCAAGAAAGGTGTGAATGATTTAGAACAAGAACAGTTAACATGTTTACCGTTTGGCCTTTTGATCAAATGTATCTGCAACAAGCTTCCTGTACCAGCCGTTGTAGGTGACGTACGACTTCACCGTTGAGTAGCCGAAAAAGAAATCGGCTTCATTTGGAAAGCGTGCGGCTCTCGAAGCGTCTACTGTATCCACCAGCTTGAGTGCTGAAATATAAAAGGCAAACCGTAGAGACGCTTCTAGTATTGTGTCGCCACTGGCATCCAACCCGGTTTGTGAGTGAGTGGGTTTAACGCCGCTTTTAACAGTATTCCAGTTCTAGTCGCGGCGTGTCAGCTTGATGTAGGGGGGAAGCCCGAAGTGATGCAGGTCTCAGACGATTACCACTACGGTGAAATCCACGAGCACTGGTATGGTGCTGACAAACATAGAAACATAATTGGGGCGAACCGTGATTCGAACCTCCTACAATCATAGGTTTCTGGCGCGCCCAAGGGATGCAACTCTGCACAGCAAATCGCGGCGCCTTAGACGACTTGGCCACCCGTGCCCCCTCAACCCGGTTTGAGTGGGGAAGACGCATGTCATCGATCCCAATTGCGTGGATCGATGCTCATGATGCCAATCACTGGATTGTCTGGTCCAGACTCTGTTATTTACAGACCACCGTCATATAGCTGGAATATTGCTGAGTGTGGCGTTAAACAACAAACCAACCAACCAACTGAGTGGGGAACGTTTGTAACAGTGAGCAAGAGCGTGTGTTGGGTTTAAGGCCGCTTTAAACCGATTTTCAGGTATGGCGTGGTGCCCATCTTTGCCCCTCTACCACTTTGGTGAAACTCCCGAGTACTGTTGAAGTGTGAATCATGGAAATATGATCGTGGGTTCGACTCCCAGATTCGCCCTGGTTATGTTTCTTGGCTTGTCAGCCTCGTACACGTGCTTGTGGATTTCACCAGAGTGATAAAAGCTACGACCGTGACATGGGAGGACATTCTACTCACCGTGACATGGGAGGACATTCTACTCACCGTAACATAGGAGGACATTCTACTCACCGTGACATGGGAGGACATACTACTTACCGTGACATAGGAGGACATTCTACTCACCCTGACAGGGGAGGACATTCTACTCACCGTGACATAGGAGGACATACTACACACCGTGACAGGGGAGGACATACTACTCACCCTGACAGGGGAGGACATACTACTCACCGTGACAGGGGAGGACATACTACTCACCCTGACAGGGGAAGACATACTACTCACCGTGACATGGGAAGACATTCTACTCACCGTGACATGGGAGGACATTCTACTCACCCTGACAGGGGAGGACATTCTACTCACCCTGACATGGGAAGACATTCTACTCACCGTGACATGGGAGGACATTCTACTCACCGTGACAGGGGAGGACATACTACTCACCCTGACAGGGGAAGACATACTACTCACCGTGACATGGGAAGACATTCTACTCACCGTGACATGGGAGGACATTCTACTCACCCTGACAGGGGAGGACATTCTACTCACCGTGACATGGGAGGACATTCTACTCACCCTGACAGGGGAGGACATCCACTCACCGTGACATAGGAGGGCATTCTACTCACCCTGACAGGGGAGGACATCCACTCACCGTGACATAGGAGGACGTTCTACTCACCCTGACAGGGGAGGACATCCACTCACCGTGACATGGGAGGACATTCTACTCACCATGACATGGGAGGACATTGTACTCACCGTGACATGGGAGGACATTCTACTCACCCTGACAGGGGAGGACGTTCTACTTACCGTGACATGGGAGGACGTTCTACTTACCGTGACATGGGAGGACATTGTACTCACCGTGACATGGGAGGACGTTCTACTTACCGTGACATGGAAGGACATTGTACTCACCGTGACATGGGAGGACGTTCTACTTACCGTGACATGGGAGGACATTGTACTTACCGTGACATAGGAGGACATACTACACACCGTGACATGGGAGGACATTTTTCTCACCGTGACATGTGAGGACGTTCTACTCACCGGGACATGGGAGGACATTGTACTCACCGTGACATGGGAGGACATTCTACTTACCGTGACATGGGAGGACGTTCTACTGACCGTGACATGGGAGGACGTTCTACTTACCGTGACATGGGAGGACATTGTACTCACCGTGACATGGGAGGACATTCTACTTACCGTGACATGGGAGGACATTCTACTTACCGTGACATGGGAGGACATTCTACTTACCGTGACATGGGAGGACGTTCTACTTACCGTGACATGGGAGGACGTTCTACTTACCGTGACATAGGATGACATTTTTCTCACCGTGACATGGGAGGACACTTTTCTCACCGTGACATGGGAGGACGTTCTACTTACCGTGGCGTGGAAGCACGTGCTACTTAACGTGACACGTGAGGACGTCCTACTTACCGTGACATGGGAGGATATTCTATTCACCGTGACATAGGACATTCTACTCACCGTGACATAGGAGGACACCGGGACATGAGGACATTCTACTCACCGGGACATGGGAGGACATTCTTCTCATCGTGACATGAGAGGAAATTCTACTAACCGGGGCATAAGAGGACATTCTAATCACTGTGACACAGGCGGACACTCACCATGCTGCTTATCTTCTCCCCGACATGCCTCTATAAAGAACAACTTGGGTTTACCAGCCAGAGACGGACAGTTTTCAGGCTTGAAGTAACTGGCCAATTCATCAATATGAAGATCCCTGTCGTCGACGCTACACACCACATCGTCGTCGCCGTGAGCGGTGATGAATACGACGACACAGTCAAACTTATCGTGGTCTATATTCGCAACACATTGAATCACACGCGTAAAATGGGCATCATCGAGGCGAGTGTGAAACTGAACATCAAAGTGTAACTTCCTGAAAGTTTCGGATAACCTATCTGAAATAAATAAAACACACATTAGGTGAGTGAGTGAGTGAGTTAGTGAGTGAGCGAGGGAATGAGCTTTGGCGCTGCTTTGAACTGCGAATGTCAATCACTGGATTGTCTGGTCCAGACTGAATCATTCACATATCGCCGTCGTATAGCTGGAATATTGCTTAGTGCGGCGTTAAACAACAAACAAACAAATACCATCTCATTCTACCGGGTAAGGCGTCTTAGAGTTGTGTCCCTTGGGCACGCCAGAAACCTATGGTTGTGGGTTCGAATCCAGGTTTGACCCAATTATATTTCTATGTATGCACCATACCCGTGCATCACTTCGGGCTTTCCTCCCACATTAAGCTGACACGCCGTGATATAACTGGAATAGTGTTAAAAGAGGCGTTAAACCCAACTCACTCACTCACTCACTACCGGGTACCCATTCACTTATACGTGAACGGAGACATATTTAAAACAAAGTCATTTGCCTTAGGAGAAACCACATGTAATATGTGTTGCAGTTTTGGGCAGGACCAAAACCCTAGAAATTCTCAGGAGTCTAGCTACCGAGTGCGGTCATCACCCATCCGCCCACTCTCCGCAACCAGCATTGCTTAATTAGGTTTGTAACCTTTGTGCTGACTAGGGTTGGGACTGATTATTTGAACAGAACACTGATATACCTAGTAGGATTGTAGAAAGGGACGTGTGTGTGTTTCTTAATTCCAACGGGCGATTTGAATGACAGACAAGGAACGAGCGAGTGAGTTGGTTTTGAACAATGTTCCAGTTATGTCACGGCGTGTCAGAATGAGGTAGGAGGAAAGCCCGAAGTGATGCAGGTCTTAGACGTTTACCAATTTAGTGAAACCTCGAGCAAGGGTATGGTGTTGATAAACCCAGAAACATAATCGGGGCGAAACGGGATTCGAACCCACGAGGTTTCTGGCTTGCCCAAGGGACGCAACTCTGCACAGCGAATTGCGGCGCCTCAGAAGACTGGGCCAACCGTGCCCCCGACAAAGAACAAAGGTCTGTTGGGTCACATTTACGACATTGGGGCGAATCAAAACCGGATATATGCTGTTGGAATGTTGAAAGCAATCTCACGTAAGTGCTGAGACGCTATGGTTTGTTTGGGAAAACCCTAAGTACGTCCTTGAGTTGAGCGGGACGCAAACACGCACAGCTAATTCCCTCCCACTCCCAGGTCATACACTTATTGAAAGTAGATGATAGTAGTGAATATGACATAGATATCACTGAGGCTTTATAAGTGTATGTGAGAGCCTTTGTACATTGGCTCATCTCCGATGACAGTATTGACACGGGTAGGCAGTACTACATATTAGTAGTTATGGTGTCTTTAGTTGCCGTATACAGTGTCGTATAAGGTTAGCAGAAACATATTGGCTCCCGCCCCGCCCGATATTTTTCTTCTAACCTAATATGACACCGTAATATACGGCAACTAAAGACACCTTAACGAATTTATTATGCCGAAATGTTGACACTATTTGGTATCATTGTCGCACGTCATGTCAAAATGAAAACTTGACACTTACAACCGTTGACGTTAAGGGTCAAAGAGAGACTTTTCTTCAAACCTTAGAGGCCAAATTTTGTTGATAATTTTAAGTATAACCTTTATCAATAAAGTCACGAACGTAATTTAAAACATTATTAATGTCCTCGCGAATAAGAATAAATGATATGAAAACACAAAAGAGTGTAGAATAACGATTTTCTGTACAAGAATTTTCATGTGAAATATGTGAGGTGGGTGTTGAAAAATCCAAAATGGCTCTTACTAACGGTAAACGGTCTCATATTAGGTCAGTAACAACCATCTTGGATTTCTACTGACGGTATATGGGCTCACGTGGGGTTAGTGGTTCTGCTCTGTGATTGGTCAATCTCACTTTGAGGCATCATCAAGACTACTGCAGGGTCACTTTGTCCAACAAAAGCCAAACTCATACTCAAATGAAAGAAAAATTGAAATTGCCATCTCACGCCTCAGACTCGGCCACAAAAAGCACTATGACAAGGTTTGTTCATCTTGCAATCAGGCTGAAACTATTACTCACGTGTTACTAGAATGTCAAGACCATGCCCCAGCCCGGGCTAGGTTAAAATAAGAATTGCAGTTAGATCCGCTATCTGTCATAGATCTCCTAAAGCCAAGAGATGCAATAGCGAAGGCCAAACTAACTCTATTTCTGAGAGATGGACAGCTACTCGAACGTATATAAACAGTGCAGCCAAGGATAAAAATGAAATCATATGAATACAAGAAAATAAAAATCATATCAATACAAAAACAGGAATTATGTGAATACCAAACCCACAATAGATATGTGTACCCTACTCACACACAGGAGTCCCAAAGAGGGACAGGTCAGCCGAAATTGCTATGGCAGAAGGCGACCTCTTAAACACTTAATGCAACAACAACAACATTGTCCGGCATTGATTAGACAGACAATCGGATTTGACAATAGGCATGATCATACTTACGTTTGTGGGGAGGACGGGTTGATGCCTCGGTTATGTTGTCAATGATCAAACAGATCCCTGAAATGTACAAATCCCAATGTCACTGAGTATTTCATTCAACGCAGTGAACGTGTCATACAACGGGCTCAGATGAAATCTTGTGTCCATCTCTCAGAAATAGAGTTAATTTAGCCTCGCTATTGCATGTTTAAAATCACATTTGAAGTATTTATTTAGCTTGTGTGGATCTGATATTGGCTGTAGATTGATATACGTGTATCAGTATGTATTAACCGTTATTGTGGATAGCACGAATGTGACTTTCTGTGGATCAGTGTGAAACCTCTAACGGTTAATCAAACGTGAAGTTAAATGGAGGAACAGCGATGACACTCCAAATTACTGGCTGTTACACCTCTCTGTCTATATATATAGATGAAGACATAGTTATAGTTATATCTATTTTAATATCCACACACACACACTTTACATGCGCACACACATACAAACACACTTTACACACACACACACACACACACACACACACACACACACACACACACACACACACACACACACACACACACACACACACACACACACACACACACACATTTTGCGCGCGCACACACACTACACTTTACACGTATATATCTGTAACCACACACACAGAGTTTACACGCGCGCACAAACACATACAAACTCACTTTACACGCACACACACATTTTGAACGGGCGCGCACACACACACACACACACACACATATATACACATTTATATCTGTATCCACACAAACAGTTAACACGCACACACACTTTACACGCACCAACACGCGCGCGCACACACACACACACACACACAGATATATATATATATATATATATATATATATATATATATATATATATATATATATATATATATGTCAATATCGACTAACACAAACACTTGACACGCGCGCCAATCACATACAAACATAGTTCAACCCCCCCCCCCCCCCCACACACACACACACATTTTACACGCGCACACACACACACACACTTATATATATATGTCAACATCCACACACACACTTTACACGCACACACACACACATCCACATATATATCTGTATCCACACACAAACACACAGAGTTTACACGCGCGCACACACACAAACATTCTTTATCTACACACGTCAATATCTACTCACACACTTTACACGCGCACACACACATCGACATGTATATCTGTATCCACACACACACACAGAGTTTACACGCGCGCATATACACTTAACATGCACATACACACATACACTTATATCTATATCCACACACACACACACATTTTACGTATACACACGCGCACACACACATACAAACATTCTTACACACATATTTCACGCGCACACACACATAAACATATATATCTGTAACCACACGCACACAGTTTACACGCGGGCGCTCACACACACACACATTTTACACGCACGCACACCCTTTACACGCGCGCAAACACACCCACACTTACTCACACATACACCATCACACCCACACTAACTCACACATACACCAACACACCCACACGTACTCACACATATTATAACAAAGTGTTAAATACAGCTGTATATATTGAAATATAGCCTCTCCCTTGCAACAATATTCTCACCTCGCGGCTTGGAGTTCATATGGTAACTCTCCTCATTAGTATCCGCCATGACGTCAGCCAGATGGTATCTCTCTTTATCATCTATAACAGGACATTAGGCGATCACATCGTTACAATCACACCTGATGCACTGATTAGTCGTCCTACGTGTACATACACCTGAAATTTGAACCCTATATAACCTGCCCCTTGTTGGCACAAATAATAACGCCCTGTTGACAAGACTCCCACATGATGTTGTGTCAGAGGGGGTGGAACTGACAGGTAATAAATACCTGGCGCACAACCACCGTGTAATCCGCCTTACCTGGTCACCGGAGCTTACCTGTCTCAGATAGCCAGGCATTGCATAAACCAGAAAGATAAACCCCTGACCTCGCCAGGTCACAATGGAGGCCGCTGATTACAAGTAGGCGGCGAAACAGCGTCAATCCAAGCTTCTACAGGCTGTCCTTACGTGACAGTGTTTACATAGTGAATGAGCGCGAATGCAGTTATGAAAGTTCACTGACCAGGTGGGCTTGTTAACAATAAAAACATGATTGTGGTGGTTCTACGACTTTAACACGACTAGGTAATGACGCATGTACACGCATATCAGCCATATCATGTATCTAGCCAAAACCAAGTTTCTGATAAACTACGAAATAAAAACAAATTGACAACACACTTAACAGACTAGATGATTCGTAGGAAATGATAAAAATACACATGTATGACTTGAATTTTCAACTAGACAATCGGACCAGCTCTACGGAAATGTTACTAGCCCAATTTAAAAGTCACTAGCATTTGGCTAGGGGGCAGCAGACAGCCAGGTTTATTCAGTACTATGGTCATATGGCCTAAAGTACAAATGATACTAGCTCATAATATGATGTCACGTGTATATACAGAAAATACATCTTCTTGAATCTGATAGTAAAAACATGCACATATAAGTGGCCACTTAAAAGATAACATGTTTATTTTGTGAGTTGATAGTATTTATCAATTTATAGTCATTATTCAAGAAGGGGAGATATGTAGATCTTAACTTGGAAGTGGTTACACTTGAATAAGACATGGAATTCATCTTCATTTTCACCTCTGTCACAATTGGTACCAACACTGTTAACAGCATCGATATCTTTCGATTTACGACACATATTTACTTTAAGACTATGTAATGAGATTCTAAATTTACAAAACGATCTTATTAATGACTTGTCTGGTAAGACAGACAAATACATTTCCTGTTGAAGATATGTCTTTAGTTTACTATAATTGCTAAGATAATGCGAAGATGAAACAGTTTTGTACCAGTTTTGTGCAAATATATCTTTCACTCGCTGCTTTAATATTCCCATAAACACTTGAATGTTTCCAATATTCTGTGCATTCCACACAAAAGAAAAACGACATGTAAATAATAGATTTCTTACTTCAGATACCCAGTTTTGTTTACCTTAATTATCATCCAACTGCTTTAACAATTTATACCATTGAAGAGGTTATCTGCATTCTTCCATTCTTAGTTACTTTATCCAGTATTTAACTACTCTTACTTGGCTATGCACAAACATATCAGAGCGTTGCAGCGATGGCAGCATCATATTTTGTTCCCCATATTTCCGAACCACAGAGTAATATTGGTGCAATTTTACAATTAAAAAAATGCTGTTGAAAATGATATATACTTATTTTGTTTACATGCTACTGACCACATTAATTTAGAAGAAAGCATGATACCCAAATATTTATAGTAAGTTTCAACCTTGACCGAAGCATTTCCATAAGTCCACACTTCCCTTTTGGCAACTATACTACCATTTCTAAAGACAATTATGTTTGTTTTATTTAAATTTACTTCCAATCCCCAATTTAAACAAAATGATTGTAATACATTTAATTGGTTTTGTAAACCGCTTACTGCAAATGAAAACATTACATTATCATCAGCAAACAATAGCATCATAATATCAACAATATCTTGATGGACAAATATACCATAATTACATTGTTTATGAATTTCAATAACAAGTTCATTGATAAAGAAAATTAACAAAACAGGACTCAAAATATACCTCTGTCTTACACCTCTGGACGTTGAAAAACAGTCTGTTTTACCCTTGTCAGTCATTATACATGCTTTTACTGATGAATACATACTTTGCAGAACATGTCCACATGACAACCCTTGATTACAAGTAGATACAGTAACATTTGCCTATCCACAAAGTCGAAGGCTTTCTTAAAATCAACGAAAGCACAGTAAAAACGGCCCGTCGATTTGCATATATATTTCGAGCACAATGAGAGTAAAATGTACATATTATCCCTGGTAGAATAGTAAGCGCGAAAACCAGCTTGAAATTCCGAAATAAAATCATTAATTTCCTCCCATGTTCTCAACCGTTTTTTCCAACACAAATATTGCCGATGTGACGTAAAGCATTAACTCACTCACATTCCAACACAAAAGTGAATAATTTGCCAGTAACATTTAAAAGAGAAATACCTCTGTAATTATTTGGGTCCGCCTTTTTTCCGTCAATGAGTGTAAAATGTACATATTATCCCTGGTAGAATAGTAAGCGCGAAAACCAGCTTGAGATTCCGAAATAAAATCATTAATTTCTTCCCATGTTCTCAACCATTTTCTCACACAAATATTGCCGATGTGACGTAAAGCATTAACCGAAAAGCATTTCGTCTGATAAATCATAAATAAAATATATACTACCATTTTCACAAGAATGATTATCAAGGAATTGGGAAATCGAATGATCAATTTCAGAACAATCTTCTGCAATTGCAGGGTTCAATAAGTTTTTAAAATAGGATCCCCAAACGTCAGGTGCTATTGTATTACTAGAGTTCTTGTTTTGTAGGGCACGTTTAAGTGTATCCCAGAATCTCTTGCAGTCATTATCCTTTGTTGCTGCATTCATCTCATCACTCATTTTCATGTTATAGATTTTCTTCTTTCTTTCACAGCTTTTATAAAATCTGCCTTTGCATCAATGTAGTTTTGCAAGTTTAGCGCACAGGTATATTTTCTGAACTTGTTCAGTAGTCTATATTTCTCTGATTTGAATTGGGCACAATCATCATCAAACCAAGGAGGTTGTGATCTTCCAGTTTGCTTAGATGCTGTATCATAAGCTCCTCCATTTAGACCACTATGAATCATAATTTCAGATAGTTTGTCAACGGCTTTGTTAATGTTTTCATATGATATCACTGAGAATTGTTCATACACAATCTGACTTGTAGTATTCCGAAGACATTGTAAATATGACGCAAAGTTTCCAACTGGTAGAATATATCTAGGAACAGTCTCCAATATACCATCTGTGGTTTCTGGTGATTCCACTACTTGATTGTATAGTACACTTGACGGGCATATGAATCTGTACGCTGGATAACTGACATATCAATGGCATTTGGGAAAAGATCACTTGAAACTATGAAATAATCTACAGTACTGCATTCTGTATGACACAAAAGTGAAGTTACTCGGGATATCCAATGGGGCTCTGCCATTTACAATATGTATGCCGATTAATTTACAGTAAAGCTCCATCATACCTATTTGTTTTGTAGTCACGAACACTTCTTGTAACTGAAAAATCATCTCTAACATAATTTGGATCAATTGGTAAATATTTTATCAAGGATAAAATCCCGGTCACACCATTTCTTGCATTAAAATAACCACTTAAGTTGAATTTACAGGACTCATCATAATACTAATACATAATGTACTAACTGATTTTCCAATCTATCTATACCATTTTCCTCACAATTATTGTAGAACGGTTTGTAGATTCAGGATGGATATAGAATAAAGCAATAAAATCGTTTATTGGACTTTCAGCATTCACAATCCTGAAAAAGATAACATTATCCCAATTTGAGTAGACTCTCTCGAAGTATCCTGTCAAACGATGTTTTATGCAAACTGCAATTCCACCAGATAACCTTCCACGGTCAGAGAGACGTTTTGCATCACATACATAATTATCATATTTACTGAATACGTTCGTTAATACATCACTAGCATCTGTACACATTGTTTCAACAAAACAGAATATGTCGAAATCCTGGCAGAATGAAATAAAGTCACCAAATTCAGTTTTGGATTTTAGTCCTTGGATGTTCCAGGAACATATATTCAATATAGAATCTGTGTAGAATCAGTGTTATTTTCATGAGTGTCATTGAGGCCACGACCACCATCCTATGTGCTATTACTGCAAGCTGATGTAGACGTTGTTGACCCAGCAGCAGGTGCAGACAGCGATGGTGTCTCAGTTGGATTGGGTGATGATCTTGTCTGCGATTTAGTAACTGATGTCCAGTTCCTACGCTGTCGAACTTGTCTGATTTGTGTGTCGTCACCTCCCAGAACAAAAACTGAACCAGTTTATCGTAGCTCAAATAGGCAACTTTGTTCTCTTGTCTGGCTCTCATAAAGGGAAACAACTTTGACCAAACCTCCCTCACTCTCTGGGTGATGTCTTCTGAAACCCTGTACTCTGTATTCCCCTTCAGAAACTTTCTGGCAGCTCCCATCACAGCTGCTCTGTCCTTGTAGAAAGAGAACTTGGCAATTATCGGTCTACTTCCAGATTTTGGGTGCAGCCGATGTGCTCTTTCTATGCCGAAGGATTGAATTTCGATGTTTAGGGTAACGTCCATAAAATCTCTGACACATGGTCATGACCCACTCTCTTCCCATGTTTCACCCCTCTTTTCTTGTAGACAATGAAAGATTACATTTGATCTTAGAGACTGTGCTTCAATGCTGTCATTTCTGGATTCCAGGGCATCAAGTTTCTCTTTCAAACTAGGACCGCCTCCGTGGTCTAGTGGTAGAGCGTCCGCCCGGAGAGCGGAAGACCCGGGGTTCGATCCCCGACCGCGACATACCAAAAGACGTTAAAAGATGGTACTTGTTGTTACCCTGTCTGGCGCTTGGCATTCAGAGGCTAAAACAAGGACTGGTCGGCTCGGAGTCAGTATACTGTGTCTGAGTGGGGTATTCATGTTAAACTGCGGCATGGTATCCCAATGAGCTAGCACTATAAATCGGCATCAGTCCGGACTAGTACAAGCAGCCACACAAACACACACGTACATGCACGTCGCTATATAAGTGCAATAATCTTGGACGCGACGTTAAACCCCATTTCACCTCACCTCACCTCACCTCTTTCAAACTTGTGTTTTCCTCTTGAAGGTCACGAAGTTTGTCATCATAGTCCTTTGTGAATCAGTCCATCTCGTCATTTAGGTTGGTAATCTGTGTTTGTATTGCTTTTAGTGCCATAGGGAGATCATCTAGTGTTGATTGGCTATGTGAAGTGTCATTGCCCAGAAGCATGTGTCCA